GTCTCACTATGTAGTTGAGACTGACCTGGAACTCTCTGTGTAGCCCAGGCTGGTCTCCAACTCACAGTGATCCTCCTGTCTCAGCCTCCCAAGTGCTGGGATTACAGACGTGCACCACCATGCCCGGCTACATTGGACTTTTAAAGTACTGCATTTAGGTATTATTTATTGTGATGGCTCAGGTTCCTCTGCCTGATGTGAATGCCCTGGTCCTGGTCCTGGCAGTAAGATTGTCTCTTCTCCCCTTTTGTCCCCGACTGTCCCTCTGTAGTCACCCCGTTTCTGACATTTCACCACACCTTTTTCTCATGCCCGCTTTCACTCCGTTCTTTCCCTTAGTTGTCTGCGTGTCGCTGTCCCCCACCAAGTCCCTGCCCTCTGAGGGGAGGTGGGCAGCGTCTGTGCGGGACGAAGGGATGGGGGAGAGAAGCCTAATCCTGAGAAACCTGGGGAGGGCGCTTCACGAACATGGAATGGTGGCCTGGAGTCTGTGGCTCAGAAACCCCAGGGCTCCATTTAATGCAGTTCTGTTACTGTCTTGAAGTTCTCAGCGAGTTTTGGACAAGGAGTCATGTATTTTTTGCTAGGAGCGCTGTAAATAATGTCATAGCTCCTTTCCCTGGTTTTGAAGATTACCCTGCCCTCCCCTTTCATGCACAAAGGGGACCCAACCCATCCCTAAGCACTTCCTCCCTGGGCTTGGCCAGAACCGTTAACCACAAGGCTTACACTGAAAATGGTGAGCAGGTACCTGGAAGCCCCGCCTTTTCCCTGTGATCGTTGCCTTTGCCCAGGACTCGACCAATGTCTTCAAAGAACCTAGTTTGTCCATTCCAAGATGGTACTGATTCATGCTTTTCCATTGGTCCCTGGAAGCAATGAGTCTCTTCTCATTGGTCAGAGCGGCCTGGCAGAACAAACACTGAGCTGGGGACCTTGTTAGACTGAGCTGAGCCCAGGGGGTTTGCTCGGAAGCTAAAACTGTTCTACTGTGTTCCCTCTAGGGTGACTCAGGGGGACCGCTGATGTGCAGAGGTACTGTGCAAGGCATCGTGTCCTGGGGAACTTTCCCCTGTGGCAAACCCAACGACCCAGGTGTCTACACCCAAGTCTGCAAGTACACCACGTGGGTGAAAAACACCATGAGAAGGCGTTCCTAATGCAGCACCGGCAGTCTGATCCCTCCTCCAGGCAGGAAACTCACAGAAACAAGGACATCAGCGACCTCTAAACGCCTATCTGACTTTATCTTTCCTCAGAGATGTATTAAGACCCTCAAAAAACACAAGTCAAAATATCAAGGACCTAAAACCAAAACAAATAAAGAAAAGAGACCTCAGTGCTATGGAAAATGTGGGTGAGACCAGCACTCTCGAGGCCCGGAGCTGGGAGTTCATTCTGTCTCTATGCGGAAGGTTTGTTCTCATGAAGAGAGGCCACCCTTCACTGCCTTCCACCCAGAAATTCTAATTCTAGGAAGAGAGGACTGAAAACCAAAAGAGGTACAAAATGTGGAGCAAGAGTTGAATTCATTGCATTATCTAGTGTCGCAAAAGAGGAAGGAGATGTCGAACGTGTTCCAGAGCAAGTGGCTCCTTGAAACAATAGGTCAGTTCATTCAAGGACACGGGGAGGCCGTGAAGAGTAGCACTTGGGCACAACTGAGAGTGCTGGGCAAAAGCATCTGTGAAATGGAACAGGAAGTCACACAAGAAAAACGCCTGCGACCCTAGCCCTGTAAATTGATATACTCAGAATAAAATTGGAAAGAGCAAATACCCACCGATGTGGCACTGACCTCGGTCGTCTCCTTCTTCCCGTATACGGCGTCGCAGGTGCACACTCCCATACCTTGAAACGGAGACGGGGAGCTCTCTGGCGGTCTAGGGTGGAGGGAGGAGGCCCTTGAGCGATGGAGGCCAGGATGAAATCGCATCCAGTGCTGAGCCCGCTCCCAGAGGACCCAGTGTCCCAAGGACCAGAGGGAGATGGCGGCTGGAAGTGGGGGAACAGGGAAGGGACTTCCGGAAGGGAGGAGGAGTCCGTGTGACTCAGTGCCCGGCCACAGTCCCCGGCACCAGAGATCTCTGGGCGGTCACACAGCCACTGCTGGCACAGGGGTGCGCTCCAGCGCAGGACCTGTCCTTCCTGCCTGTCATCCCCGCTCTTCTTCCTGGAATTCTCTCTCCACCGTCCTCCTCCGGGTGCCTCCTCTCACCCAATCTCCCAGAATCTCTCCTGACCCATCCTCCGCCCTTAACACCACACCCCAAAGAGCCCAGCCTCCTCCCTCAGACCCGGGGAGTCCGGACCCACAGCACCTCCTTTTTCAGACATCAGAGTCCAGGCTCCGACTCCTTGTGTCTGTGGGCCTTTTTAAAAAATAAAGAATGTCATGGAATTTTGCCTTACTTCCCGTGAAGTTCTATCGACTTCTCTCTCTCCCGCCAGGACCGCAGATCAACACTGAATCTAAAATTGTAAAAAGTGACAAAGCACAACCGTCGAGCTGATGCAGGCTGCAAGCTCCCGATCCTCTTTTTCTATGCAGCTCTGAGCCGGGTTGGCTCGCCATGACCTGAGATGTATTCATACCGAAATTTTTAGCCTTGTTCCTCAGACTCAGCTCCCAGGTGCAGCATTTACTTGCCCGTGCGTGTGTGTGTGTGTGTGTGTGTGTGTGTGTGTGTGCACGCGTGCCTGCGTGTGTCCATTGTGGGTGGTCCAGGGCCTCCCGCCTGCTAAGCACATTCTGCACCACCGAGCTGCGCCCCAGCCCCACTGTCCTCTCTGGCTACATCACCTCCCCTCTCCTATCCCTTCACCCCAGAAATGCACCCATTTCACAGGCTCACTAGGAAGACTAATTAATATGCAGAAGGTGCTGGAACACTGACTCAGAATAAGCCTTCGGGGGGTTACTGGTTCTTATCGATTGTGACTTCTGGCATTTTTCTTGCTTACGCTCTCATGGAAGCTCCTCGTTAATGTTTCTATGCAAACCTTTTGCACAGAAAGTCAGTCTGGAGGCAAATGCCCAGCAAGCGAGTGTGCAGAGCCTGCGGAGAAGGTAAAACCTCAAGAGTCTCTGTCCAGTGTCACTGGCCCGGAGTTGGGGGCTTCCCCTGCCCTCGCAGAGATTCCTGCACTCCCCGTGGTCTACCACCTTCCTCCTTTGCCCACGTGGCTCCTCCCAAGGATGCCTCCCAGGTGCGCCCACCTTATATTGTACTGAGATGGCCCAGGGGGTCACTGAGAGATGACCCGGACCCCACACCGCATTGGATCCTGAGAAAGGGACCAGATATTGCAAACACGAACACAGGCAAGACTTCACTGGGGGCGGGGTCTTCAGCTGAGGGGAGTCGCTGACGGAGAGAGGGACCGAGCTGCTCTCCAAAAAGGGGGAGAAGCCAGCTTTTACTGATCAGTCAGTCTCCACTGACCAGGGGCACCGTTCCAAAGGACGTTCCTTGCATAAGATTTGGACCAGGGAGTGGTCACTGCCAACTTGCCCCAGAAGCGTTTGAATTTTCACATAGCCAGCACCATGGTCCCAGGCAAAGCATACCGAGCCTCTTGGATCTGGGCCCCAGGAGAGGGTCAAAGAGCTTCAGGTGCTCAGGCTGCCGGGGCAGGAGAAGAAGCGCACGAGTGGAGACAGGAAAGAGAAAAGACAGCACACAAGCCGCTGGGGCGGACAATCAGCAGGGCTGCACCGCGGCCCTGAGTAGAATCGGAGCCCAAGGTCAAGGCAGCCAAAGGGACAATGTGAAGACGGCGGTACCGGGCCTTCCATCTCTCCTGCCACCCACCGGGCATCTGCAGGCCTGCGTGAGGGGCCCGGGGTCTCGGCCGTGACCCCCGGGGCAGAGGGGTCACCGACAGCAGAGTGCATTGCCCCGCTGTGCAGCCTCCAGACTGTGACTCTGGGGCTGGCCAAGAGCAGGCCTCGCCAGAGGGGTCCGCCAGGCCTCTTCGTAGCTATTTGTCATTCTATGCAGCGCTGTGGCTTTGTGGTGTCACCAGCATTATCGATGAGTCTATTGAAAGCGTCCGAGGGCAGAGAAGCAACACGCCATGCTACAAGGCTGGCAATTTTGTTGTTGTAGTTGTTGTCACGGGGATCAAACTCGGGACCTTGTGAACCACTGAGCTAAATCCCCGGCCCAGGGTGACAATTTGTAAAACGGCCCCGGGGCTCATTTCGTTGTCCCTGACTCGGGTCCCCCGCCCCATGGTTCCCTGGCCGGCTCACCACTTGCTGGCTGCCTGAGGTTGAGCAACAAACCTCCCCGCTCGAAGCCTCAGATGTGGCATCCGCAGAACGGGCGTGGGCGAGACGAGGTCATCCAGTCATTGGGCCAACATTTCCTGGGGTTCTTCTGGGCCAGCTCCTGCACAGGTTCTGGGAGCTCAGAGCTGAGTCAGCCCCAGCGCCTGCCCTCCAGAAGCTCCAGGTGCGAGGAGGGAGGCCGCACGTGGACGTCGAACCGGATGGCCCCGGTCCAGGGTGACTGCGGGGAGGCACCTGCCTGTGGCCCGCAGGACAGTGACTAACCGACCGCAGCAGGTGGGGGCCGGCAATGTTCCGGGAAGGCTTCCTGTAGGAGGCCTTGTGGAGGCTGGAAGGACCGGGGCTGCTGTCCGGAAAAGGCGGGGACAGCATACCACCCGGAAGCAACAGCGTGAGTGCAGGACCCAGGGCCCGTGGTGTGGCGCCGGAGGCTGGGGGTGGGCGGCCGTGGGATGTGGCCTGCGGTGACGGCAAGTGTGCTCCTGCTGAGAAATGTTGCAAGTAGAAAAGACACCTCAGATTCCAGGCACTTGGACGGCCGAGATGTAAGGCAGACCGTCCCTTTGATATTTTTCTTATTATTATTTCATGTTGAAATCATAATAGGTTGAATAGCTTGAGTCAAGGGAGATATTAAGATGAAAGCTTCCCCGCGTTTTGGTGGTACGGAAGATTAAGCCCAGGCCCTTGGCAGTGAGGTACATCCCCGGCTTGATTAATACAGGGTCTCACGGTGTTACTAAGTTGTCGGGCTGGGCTCAAACTTGCAAACTTGCAATCCTCCCGCCTCAGCCTTCCAGAGAGCTGGGATTGTTATAGACAGGGGCCACCATGTTCAGGTTCTTCCTGATCTTTTTACCATGCCCTTTCTTTCTCTGAAATATGTCTTTTGTGGGCAAGCACACATTGCATACACCATCGGTGCACAGCGTGATTTTCACAAGGGTCTGTATACACTGCGGGATGGCGAAATCAAGCTGTTTAATGTGTGCCCCACATTCTTCTTTTTGTGGTAAGAACACTTAACATCTTTTCCCAGTTTGTATTCTCTTCTGTCGCTGGGGATAGCAGCCAGGGCCTCGTGGATCCTAGGCAAGAGCTCTGCCATAGTGCTACACATCCAGCCTCTTTAAAAACAAAAGCTTGGAAGCCGGGCGTGGTGGCGCACGCCTGTAATCCCAGCACTCTGGAGGCTGAGGCAGGAGGATCACTGTGAGTTCAAGACCAGCCTGGTGAGTTCCAGGTCAGTCTCAACTACATAGTGAGACCCTGTCTCAAAAAACCAACGCCCCCTCCAAAAAAAAGCTTGGGGCTGCTAGAGACTGTAAGCATGAAAGGACGCTGGTCTCGCCTGTCTCCCGGCCAGTGCTTCTGGTACTGGGGCTCCTCTGTCCCCAGGGCTGGGAGAAGTGGGGGCAGCTCAGTCCCAGGCAGGCAAAGGGGAGCCCTGGGGTCCAGTGGGGCTGGGAGAACGAGGGGTACCTGTGTGATGGTCCAGTGGGAGAAGAGCTGGTCTGCACTGAGGCCAGGATGTGGGGACAGAAAGGAGGGAGAACAGGCAGTGATACAGGGTCGGGGCCAGGCGGGCTGCAAGGAAGGTGTGCATGCAGGGAAGGCAGAGAGCTCCCTGGATGCCAACTTGGCCTTCGTCCCGCAGCTCATGAGGCTGAGAGAATTAAGGTGACAATTAGATTCGATGCAAGGACAGAAAGGGTTATCAGAGGTGCCAAACCCACGCAGGCACTGAGGCAGGCATTGCTCACAGCCATTGTCCCTGTTGCCCAACGATTGCCCCATAAGCCCCAATCTCTCCTCCACCCGACATCAAGTCAGGCCCCTCCATCCGGCCACGCCCTCACCCACATCCCACACGACCACCTCTCTCCGCTTCTCCTCCAGGCCGAGTTCAAAGGCGACTGCCATCCTGCAAGCTGGCTTCTCACATCTCTCCCCCGAGAGCCTGGGCCTCAGCGGCGCACCCCCCCGCCCCC